GCTTAAACATCACATGGTTTCCCTTATATAGAAACCCAAAGTATAAATAAAGAACAAAACGAAGATTATAGGAAATACGAAGAGAGATCTTTTGCAGAAGGTACAGGGACCAAGACATGGCGGGCAGGGAAGGGAATGAAAAAAGCATTAGCAACACCTCATGCAGAATGTAAATATGTACTACATAAAAACATGTACTAATAAAAATAAAAAAACGGAACCTAAGTATTCTTTTCAGCTTTACAGAGATATAACAGACATACAGTAAGTAGTATGTACCTGCTAAAAGTATATAATGAGCTAAGCTCTAACCCATGTACCAAGTTCTACAACCACATCCACCGCTCCTGTGAGCTGCCTCACACACAAGCAACTACGGTTCTGCTGTCTGTCATTATCAACTGCAATTTCTACGATTTAATACATGGAAATCTGCAGGATATGCTTTTTTCTGGTATCTTTCATACAGCACAAACATTCTGCGATTCATCCATGGTGTCATTTATTTCTTATTAATGCCTTCTTTCATAGTTAAATACTATTGCAGTCTGTGGGTAAATCACAATTGGTTTATACAGTCACCCGGTGATGGACACGTGGATTATTTCAAGACTTTGGCTCTTACAAACAAAGCTGCTATGAACATTCGAACACGTCTTTATATGAATATATGCTTTCATTTCTCTTAGGTGAATACTATGAGTGGGATATCTAGATCACAAACTGGGTGCATAGGGAGACAGAGGAAAATCATCTTCAAAGTAGCTGCACAATTTTACCTTCATACCAGAAATAAATGGCAGCTCTTGCCAATATTTGGTATGGTCACAAATTTTAATTCCAGACATTCTAATATTGGTGCAGTAGTACATTATATGAACTGAAATTGGCTTTTCAGTGGGTAGCCAATTATTTCAACACAATTTGTTTAAAATACTACTATATTCATTCTCCATGAAAACGGCTTTGGACATTTTCTTGAAAAACCAATTGCAGGTCTATTTTTGGACTCTCTCTTCTTTTCACTGGACTTCTTTGTACATTTACCCAAATGCCACATTATCTTGATTACTATAGTTTTTTCTGTTTTTTGGCATTACTGCAGGCTGAATCCAGGGTTTTCACATTGGGCTACATCCCAAAACCTTTTTGGGATGTAAATTTTTTTTTACTGTGGGACAGGTTTTTGTTATGTAGCTAAGTTATCCAGATTTGGCTTAAAATTGTGATTCTCCTACCTCAGCCTCCCAGAGTGCTGAGATTACAGGTATGCATCACCATGTATGGCTCCTCTTGGGAGACTGACTGGATTATTTGGAATCTATAGACTGCTCTAAAGGGAACTAATAACAATACTGAATCTTTAGATTCTCTTGGGTTTCAGTATACTCTTAAATTATTTTCCTTAAATTAATAAATGAGAGAAAGTAATAAATGGTAACAAGTCATGTCAAGGGAACTTGTTTTCATTTTGATATGATTACTGTTCACTTGAATTCATTTCAACAGATATTTATGGGTTCCTATTATAGCGAGCCAATGACCAGTAAAAATGGTGCATTTAGAAGATCTGTCATGATATGGTTTACAGAATAATAAAGATTGGCTACAAGCAATTACAGCATTTGGTATTTATTGAACCAGTCTCAAAAAATCTACAGATAAATAAATTCAGATGGCAAATCCCAGTGCTTACGCCTGAGTTTTGCTCAAGTAAGCTATCAGGAGTGAGATGAAGCTATATTTGCATATAATAGAAAGTCAAATAATGTAACATCTTAATAAATATCAAGTAAGTTGAATATAGGATGCAGATTTTTAAAATGTTAATAGGCTGGAACTATCAGTAGAAGCTATGAAATTTAATAAGGATAATAAAAATTATACCATATTTTGTATAAAAAGTAAATTAGTTTTTTCTCTTTAAACACATTGTTCTTTTCCTCTAATGCTATTGTAATAATCATCCTCAGTTCTCCAGGAAAAAAAAGAGAGTTTAAAAATATTTTTCAGGGAAAAATAATACACCTATACATACACATAATTAACCATAATAACAGGAAGTAGGTAAGTGATCATCTGGGAACGATGAAGCAGGAAGGCGAAGCTGTAAGGAGGAATGAAGAACGTGCAGCTGGCTGGGTGTGGCGGTGCACACCTGCAACCCCGGCCCTTTGGCGGCTGAGGCAGAAGGACCACTGCAAGTTCAAGGTCAGCCAGGGCTACACAGTGAGTTCAAGGCCAGTCTGAACTACATAGTGAGGCCCTGTCTCAAAAAACCAAAAGAAGAGAAGAGAAAAGAAAAGAAAAGAAAAGAAAAAGAGTATGCACTTGGGGTGCTAGCTATTTTGGAGTTTGATCACTTCAACTTAGGAAGTCAAGGCTAGACTGGGCAAATAGTGAGATCTCATTCCAAAAACAGGAGAGAAGCAGGAATAAGGAAAATTTGGGAGAGATGGTTATCTTCATTACATTGATTGTGGTGTGTATTTATAAGATACACTTTACTTAATCATATACTATATATGTGTGCATTTCATTGTATGTCAACTATACACAATAGAGCTGTATTTAAAATCACATATGTACTGGTCATGGAAAATCGTGTAACTACTTTGACTAATAAAAGATTAGTTATTAAAGTGTTAAAACACAGATGTTTGTCTGTAATCCCAGCTACTTGGGAAGCTGAAACAAGAGGATCACAAGTGAGGCCAGCCCGGGCAACTTAACAAGACCCTGTCTTGAAATAAAAAATAAAAAGGGCTAAAGAAGTAGTTCAGGGGTACAGTACCCCTGAGCTTGATCCCCCTGTACTGCTACCCAAGAACCCAGGTACCTGCTCTCAACCTATATTTAAAAGCAGGCTTGCAGCATCACATGGTGACAAACACAAGTGCAGTCTTTCTGCAAGCCACCCGACAGGCCTGTGCTTCAGGGCCATCACTTCACATTCACACCAGCAATGCGCAGGGCTCCAAGTTCATCACCATCCCACTGGGAAGGAAGTGGTGGCCAGTTTCGTTTTGATTTGTATTTTCCTAATGATTGATGTTATCCCAAATCTTCTCACGCATTTATCGGATATTTTTGGATAAATGATTATGGAAGCCCTGCAACCATTTTATAACATGGGTACTGGTTTTCCCATTGTTGTTAATAGGGTATATAGTCTGGATACTACTAGCTTCTCAGATATAGGATTTCTAAATATTATCTCCATTTTGTGAGTTTTCTTTCACATTTGATAGTATCCTTTAATTCATAAGGTTTAGATTTTGATTAAGTTCATTTCATTCATTTATTTTTTACTGTTACCCTTGTACATTTGAGTCTTCCTTTTTTTTTTTTCTTTTTAAATGTAGAGCACTATGATATTGCTAGCATTTTAGGGAAATGAAAATCTTCAAGGGGCTTATTCTATTTTATTCTTCTAACTGTCTGCCAAACTTGTAGCACCATTCCCTAATTCTATATATACATTTTATGATTTCTGACTCTTTTACAAATATGAGCTTTTACTAAACAGTTTTCTAAGTGCTCTGCAACATTTTTGTTTGTTTGTTTTTGGAAAGGCTTCTCCCCATTCTCTTTCTATTTAAGGTCACTTGAGACTGTAAAGTCTCAATTGCATTTCTGATAGTATTCATTCCTCTAAATCTGTATTTACGTCCAAAGTCTCATTCTTTGGAATCATATTTATCTTTTAAAATGTTCTTAAATTTGTCTTCTTAAAGTCTTGATCACATATTTATGTGCCGCCAGCCTAATCTTTCCTGACTATAAAGGATGAGTGTCAATTTGTTCCCAATGATACTCATTCTTTATTTCTGACACTTTTTCCCTCAGACTGCTGTAGTGATGCTATATATCTTGTGTGTTATTCAGATGGCTAACAGCACATTTCCGAGTCACTTTGTTGATCCTTGATAATAAGAAAACTCTGAAAGGTAGGTTTTAGTCAAATGAGATCTTAAGCAGCTAGCTAGCAGTTCAAGGCTTTTACCAGTATTTCTTGCTATTATGTCAGTTTATAAAGAATACAGCATTTACTTCCAATGGATACTGCCTTTGCTGAGACTGAGATCATGATATTCTTTCTATAAATCAGTCCTTTAATCTTCATCCAGGTAAGTTCACATTTATTTCCAGGTCAATTTTTATATTATTCTAGGGGCATTGCACACTTCTGTTATTGAGGTATGAAGATCAATGAATATATATAAACAAATTAGAATCACAGAATTAAAATCAGAATGGATTCCTGGAAGATTAATACTACACACACGCCTTATACATAAAATTCCCAAGATTTACAGTAGTTCAGCGGTATGGTCAAGATCATACGGAGACACTGAAGATCTGGGGTTTTTTTTCGTTCTATTTCATGGATTTATAAAGTCTGCAGTAATCTACAAAGAACAAATATGCATTTCTATGTATGTCTGATTTAGAATGAAAGAAAATCTATTCTTATAAAGAGAAAAACTGTAATTCTTCAAAACAAATTCTACTATTTCATCTTCAACTGTGAAATACAATGGCAAAAATGATGTCATTAGTCAAAAAGTTAAGAACAAATTTTATAAATATTTGCTCATGATGTATTAAACTAAAATGATAGACCCAAGACTTTGAAGAGATTACAGTAAGTGATAAAATGAAGGTTTTTTTTAAATCTTGATTTTGATTACAGTGGCAAGTGAAGGATGTATTTGCAAAACTCAAAGACAAACTACAGGAAAAGGCTGAATTTTACTATATGTAAATTAAATCTCAGTAGTCTAACCTTTTAAAAAATACATATTTTACTCAGAGGTTAGTACATACTGAAGGGAAATCTATATATACTGAATTGGAGCAAGCTATTTGTGGCAATTTTATGTAATTCTTGAGGACATTCACACAAAACTCAGGAAATTCATTCACTATTTGTAGACACATACATAGATCAGAAAAAGAAAAACTACATAGTTCTTTTTTTAAAAAAGGTAACTCACCGTTTCATTTCCAAAAAGTATGTCAACATAAGGCATAACTTTCATCAACGGTTCCTTGTAGAACTGGCTAATAAATGGTGCAGATAGATTCAAAGTGAAGATCCTGTTGTTTTCAGAAGCATACTGAGCCACTTTTAATATTGACTCTGGGGAAACTGTAAGAAAAAAACCCTGGATAAAAAAACACAGAAAAGGAGGAAAAATTAGAAATATCTCCACAGAACCACTCTAATGAAAGAGACAAAAAAAGAGACCTGTAAAATAATATAAAAGCCTAAAACACAATTGTAAGAAGCACGGTGGAAAATGGCTGTATTTAACTAGAAAAAAAGCTAATTGTAAAAAATATATGCTTGGTATATGCTATACTTCAGAGAATAAAACATTACTTATTTCATATTAGATTTATATGCTGAATATTGAAAGAATTCTGGGAATCTACAAAAGATAAAGATATTTAAAAGGTTCCACTCAAGATAATAATTACAGTTAAAGAAATAGAAATGAAGCAGAAATAATCCTTCTAGCTTCTTGTGAGTAAGTTTGTATTATTTTAAGTGAATTAAAAAGTGTTTATTAAGATGGAAGTTTATTACCTTAACACACAGCTAAATGGCATTTTTAGGAAGAATTTTGAAATCATCAGAAAATAACCCAGTAATGTAATAGAAAATTATGCTAATTAAAATCTTATCAGGAAAGCAGTATTTTAAAAAGCTATTTACATATCTAATACCAGTTAAAATCTTATTAAAATATACTTCTGTTATCCAAGACATGGATACATAACTACGGATGGGAGTGTATTTGGTGAGCAGTGTGAAAGTGGGCACAGACTGATCATGGATAATAAAGTTTTCTTGAAAGAAGTAGATGCTTACAGAAAAAATTAAAAGTTAATCTGGACAGCAGCAACTTAGTAATTTTAATAAAATTCTGCACTTGCCTTTTATAAAAGAAAATTATACTCATGGTACTACGTATAAGTCTTGGCCACTGTTTTAATATTTGGAAATCAAGAGTCAAAAGATGATTGAGATGTTGAATGTGGTGTTACCATTGATAGGGACAGAAAAAGCTACAATCAGATGCAGCTTATGTGGTTCAAGGAGAGTGTTCAGCTGAGGTGCTGAAGGGCCTCCAGACATGTAACAGAAAGTGGACTCAGGAGAAAGGTCACAGGAAAAGGCAGTGGTAGAAGAGAAGCTGTAATTACTATGGAAGAAAATGTAGAATAAGAAGAGGACGAAGGACAGAATGAAGAACAGTGAAATCTAGAGGACAGGGGAAAGGAAAAAAATGTAAATGCAGAACAGGAAAAACGCAAACGAGGGGAGAAATCAAGACAGAAATCCAATGCAGGGATACTCAGGGAGGTGCCTGAAAATGTGCAGTGCTATCAAGAGCAGAGAAACAAAAAAACTGAGCAAAAGACAGGACTTGATGAAGACAAAGTACTTATTACTCAGGTAAACTGTGCAGGTGGTTAAGGAAGGCAAGGGAAGAAAACAAGAATGAAATTTACTTCCAAAGATTTATCAATGAGTGATGACAGCATTATCTGAAATCTACTGAGCAGTTCTGTTTTGTCAAACATGGAACTAAAAATTTTTTTTACTCAGTTGTTGTTGTTTTTCTTTATAGCAAACATATGAGGCGGATACGGTTACTAGAGTCACTTTAAAACTAGAGAAGGCAAAATTGAGAAATTAAGACCTACCTCCCAGATCACACAACTTACATGGATGAGCTTGCATCGAATGACTCCTGATAGGCTGTCCTTTAGTTGGAGAGCAATAGAGAAAAAAGGGCCAGAAAGACCTTTTGGGGGAGGGGCGGGGAGGAGGAGGAACGGGAGGACTGTTTTTAAGGACAGCCATAGTTTGAACATTGCTGCTTTTCAAACAAAAAGGAGCTACTAGAAAACAAGAATGAAGAACTAAGAAAGAAAGAGGGAAGAACTGGACAAAAGGGCAGCACTGAAAACTAAAAGGGGAAAAGAGGAAGCTTACAAAACAATGGAAATAGCTTTAAATATACACAAGGTGGTAATCCCAGCACTCGGGAGACTGAGGCAGGAGGACTGCTGCAAGTTTGAGGCCAACCTGGGCTACAAGTGAGTTCAAGGCCAGCCTGAACTGCATAGTGAAAGACCAAAAGAGAACAAACAAAAAAAAAACCCAGAATCAAAACCAGACAAAACAGGGACTGGGGATTTAGCTCAGCGGCATAAGCGCCTGCCTTGCAAGTGTGTGGTTGTGAGTTTGATTCCCGGGTACCAATACAAAAGAAAAAGACAAAAAACAAAAACAAAAACAAAAAAACCCAACCAGACAAAGCAAAAACAAACTCTATATATACACCCACATATATGTATATGTATCGAGCTGCACCCTCCTGTGTACCAGTGGCAGCCAGGATGTGAGAAGAGAACCAAAATGCCACATGGGGCCTTCCGGTGTGGCAGCTGGTCTGCAGAGAGAGAAGATGTACCAGCTGTCCCCTAACCCCAAACAACTGGCTGATTGGGGGGAACACAGGCTGAGAAGATAACTGAAGTAAAGAAACAACTTAGGGCTTGTATTGTTTAATTGACTTTGCAGGCCTGAAGCTGGTAGCCTGAGCATCTATTTAGAGGACAGCAACATGCAAGAGAGTAACTACTGGGGATTTCCTACTGTCTTGCTTTTGAAATCCAATTATTCTTCTCCTTGTTTTGTTTTATTTTATTCCCTTTTAAATTGGAAAAATATATATACACAAGAAACTTCCAAAAAAGTTACAAAAATGCAACTGAAATATTTACTTGTAACTGAAAGACTTAACTGCTCAGCTTGCCCAGATTTTAAAATGTTCAAAAAGAAAAAAATTGAATGAGAATGAGTTATGTGGCATGGGTCATGTACATGAGAGCCCATCTTTGAGGAGAGCTACTGCCCTTACACATCCTAGGATAGCAGGAGAACCTTACACGATGATTACATTAGATTTTACAACACAATACCTCCAAACAGAGCACCCTGGGAAAAGCAGGGGAAGGCAGCGAATCCATCTGACCTTCCCCCAGCTTTCTACGTAAGCAGCAGCCATGGAGGAATTCTCTGACCCACCACATCTCACAGTGGACTGCACCTGTTCCAGGTGGTGCTTATCTACTCCCTGAGGAGAGGAGCATCTAAACATGTATCACCTGTTATACCCTTTCACCCTGACTTAATTGATCATCCCCTCTTTGCCTAATCAAGTATCTCCTCAAATGTTTATTTCATCAAACTTAATATAAAAGTAGTTTTTCATGGGTCTCCATGTCACATACAACTTTTGAATTTGTTGTGCTTTTCTGAATCTGTTTTCTGTTGTAAGGGTCTAAACATGATGCATGACATGGGCAAGGATAAGGTACCTTATTATTTTCTCTCCCTTACAATGGTCTCTCATCACATTAAAGCACGGACAGCTGGTTGTGGGGGGCACACCTGTAATCCCAGTACTCTGCAAGTGGAGGCAAAATGGTGGCTATGAGTTTGAGGCCAGCCTGGCTAACTGTGTGAGTTAAGGTCATCTTCTCTCAAAAAACCCAAACCACACCAAACCAAATCACAAAGCACTGGTAATACAGCATGATTTCTTGTCATCATGACAAAGTTTTCTCATTATTTTAAAATTCTAAGCTATTAATTTTCTTACCAATATCCAACTCATCTGAAAGTGATGTTTTAGGTATCATTAGTTTAAAAAAACGTTTTCATCTTTCTTTTTTAACCAAATATCATGTCCCTTGCAAACTAGGAGCATCCAAGCTTCTTCCTTTACTATTTCTGTCATTTAGAGAATTAAAAAAACATTTACATAGCATCTTGTTTCCATGGTAATATATATGGACTTGTTTTTCAGGCTTTCATTTAATGAGAAGAGTTTAAAGCTTCCCCCTTATTTCTTTCCAAACTGTTCCAGCATGAAATAGAAACCTCCCAGAGCTAGCGTTCTGCCAGCTGTGGATTAGCCACAGACAGTCACAGAATGGTCTACATAAATAGTAACCTGGTCAAATAATTAGGCTTCTCACCAACTTCAGACTGAAAATTTGATCTGTGCTAAAATACATCTGATTGTAATTTAAGGTACAGAACAGTGCGCCTCTGGAGTATAAATCTGGCCTCCTTTCAAATGTGTGTATATTGTATGTGTGCTTTTACTTTAAAATGAACACAAGAGGATTTTGATATAGACTGTAACTTTAAGAAAAAATAGGTAAAAATTATTAGCTTTAAAATAAGAGGTAAATTTAAAATAATTCTAATTTTAAGTGTTCTCATTTTTTCTTTAGGTAAATATTTAGAATTTAAACAATTGGAGATTTGTGCTCTGCTAGATTGTTAAGACTGTTAAAATCCATGCCAAACATAATTTTCCTTCCCAGATTTATAACCTTTACGAGGTCACATGTTCCAGGCTATAGTATCACCCAAAATAAAAACAGTACTATTACAAAAAAATTTTCCTTCACATGTCAGGTTTACAGTAAAAACAGGCTGACAGTTCATATGTCTATAGTTTAGAAAAACACTCTATATAATCAACAAAATCTTGTGATTTTCTAATGAAGAATGCCAGCCTGCCTAACTGTAAACTGTTAGACTTTGTCACTACCCTACGAGCAGCTAAAAACAGAATCTAACACTGAGAGGATAACAATCAGAACTGAGACTGGCATGGGGCATTTTTATTCATTATAGTGGAAATGAAATAAATAAAACGGGCAGAAATAGGAGGGAGAGGGAAAGTCTTAGGCAAGGTAGGGTCAAAGATTGTCTTACAAGAGCCAGACTTAATGCTAAGGAGCCTCAACCACTGTAAGGATTTGGTAGAGTAGTTTAAACACAGGGGAAGGTTAGAAATGAAACTATTCAACATACAAAAAGAAAAGAAAAGAAAAGAAAACAAAAAAAAAAGAAAAGTGAATTGCTTTATTTCCCCTTCCTGTATTAGAGATTGAATACAGAACCTTCACACTGAGCTATACGTCCAGTCCTTTTTTCATTTTGACATACGGCCTCCCTAAATTGCCTAGGCTGGAAATGAATTTAGAAATGAGTTTATGATCTCCCTGTCTTAGCCTTCCAGAGATGTGCACCTCTGTGCTTGACTAGGAACCGCTCTGTTTGCTCTTT